TCAGCAGGGGACTACTTACCTACAGGATCAGATCTCCAATGTTATTCTCCCATTCAATACCACAAACAATCAAGGCTTCTAAAGATTAGAAATGAAGCTGACCTTTTAAATAAGATGCATTTGAAGAGGATGAATCTGAAGATTTCCGTATATGGGAATGGCTTTTCACCATACTGTTACTTGTAGGTCAAACACCTACCAGAACCGATGGCCTGTAGTAAGTAAGTTATACGTCACCAGTTCAGATACTGTATGACACATGAGGTAGACTAAACTTCAACTTCAGCTATATAACTGTGACTTTTGCCAACTCAAAAAAAACCCCACCGTATGTGTACACATTAAAACAGAGCCATCTTTCATCTTTTGAGATCTGGTATTAGGTATTTCCCTGAAAGACTATCTTTCAAGTGCTCTTACTTGAAATGAAGAGAGAAAATATGGATGGATTTTACAAGCAATGAGGGATACCTAGGACAGTTGTGAATATGAGATGATATACAAGCAGAGCATATTAGCATCTCCACATGGAGCTGGAAGACAAGAAGGCATGTTGTATTTAAGAACTGAAGAAAATCCTGGCCATATCCAGACCCAGTGCCAGAATTCTTTTTGGCTTTGTTCCACACAGGATCCCACCTGGTGTTTGTACAGTTGTCATTCCCCTGCACTTAATAAGATTATTTTGTTTTTTCAAGCACTGTGTTTTTCATTTCCTTGAACTTTTTATATATCACATATATACAAACATAGACATAATTCATAGACATACTGTATATGCTGAATACATGCTACATATAATACAGAAATATATTACAGACAATTTTATTCTTCTCCACACCTGTATAAGTCCATAGTAACCATGTCAGTGTCAGCTGTTTTGTTGCTTCTGTTTGAAGCCCCCTTATTGATCAAAATCTTGTAGAGTAATGCCCAGGATCGAACCATGTGGCTGCAACATGTGGTTACAACATTCTCTACTTATCCCATAATGTCTCACTGTGCAGGCTCAGCCTGGCAAAGCACGTAGCATGTGAGAGCTTTAAGTGCATGGTTAGTGCCTGTGACATCAGACTGTCACTGCTCAGAGCCATGCACTGAATTACATTAGTCTGTTTAGTTACCTAACTTTAGTTGAAATCATGGCTTGGTTTTTGTTCTCCGACACCTTGTGCCTCTTTTAACATTAATTTTCTCCAGGGTACTCTGCAGGTTTTAGTGGTTTTTCTCCAGATGTACCAAACAGTATTTTAAAGAGCCTTTTATGTGTACTAGAGTTCTCCGTACTTCATTCAGACCTCCTCCCAGTTTGCTGTGTGTACATTTCATTTACTTTCAAACCTGCTAACAGCTTTCAAGTGACTAACTGTGCAACCTTAATAACCTCCAAATGTATTCTTCCCTATTTATTTTTTCATGTTTTTAAAAAATAAACAGAAGTACACTAAGAAACAAGGTGAGTCAGTCTTTCAGGATTTGAAATTCTCTTGCTTGTGGAAAAAAAGCAAACAAAGTACAAATTCCATAATACAGTGCTATGTGACTAGACGTGACCAGATTATGCTAGTTCCATGTTGTTCAACTTTGAAAACTAAGCAACAGCATTAGTTTATCACACACATCTATTTTTACTTAATCCTTCATAACTTACTGTAGGGCTCATTTTTTCAGTATACATTCTAATTAACTAAACAGAAAACACATAACAACTTAAATGCAGTGAAACAGATGCAAGTGACAATTTTTAAAATATGTTAAGTGTGTTGCTATTTTAGGAGTCTGACTACAAATCATTTATAAGACAAATATACTAATGGAACAAAAGAACATACACTGACGGGACAAGAAGATTAAGACTTCATATGCTACATACTTTACTGGTTCTAGTCCAGACTTTTGGGGTTTGGACCAAGGTGTAGTTACCTATCCCCAAGAACATTAAAGAAAGAGGCATACTTCTTGTATTGCATTTACATTGCATGTAAAGCATCGCATACTTCTTGTATTAGTCAGAAAGTAGCCAGTAGATAGATACTCTTTACTTGACACTAGTAAGTCTGCATTTGGGTTCCCAGTACAGGAAGAATGTTCATATATTCAAGTAAGTTCAGCAGAAGACCACTGGGATGGTCAGAGGCTGAAGCACTTTCCCTGTGAAAACAGGCTGAGGGAAGAGGGCTTATTTAGCCTGAAGAGGCAGCTCTAGGAGGTCCTAGCAACAATCTGACAGTACTTACAAGGAGATTACTGAGAAAGTAGAGCCAGGCTTTTCATGGAGGTGTATGGTGAGAGGCCAAGAGACCACGGTCATACAGTGAAAGAATAGAGATCTCAACTGGATATAAGAAAAGAGGTATTTGTGTGTGGAATGATTAGCATTGGAAGAGGCTGTCCAGAGAGACTGTGAAATCAGTTGTTTGAGGTTTTCAAGATCAAGAGAAAGTACCAAGCAACCTGGTTTCAATACTAAAGCACTGACTCTGCTTTGAGCAGGAAGCTGGACTACAGACCTCCCCAAAGCCCCTTCTAGCCTGAGTGACCTATGATTCTGTACAAATATCAAATTCTACCAGAGAGAGCATCTCATAAAACGATCATATAAAAGCATTTTAGAATAGTTTGGAATAGTTTGCTTACTTAGGAAAACTAGAATGATAAATCAGAATGTCTTTATAAGCATAATAAAAGAAGAGGTAAGTCCTGACCTCTTTATCTCATCCCAACCACAAAAATAAAAATGACACTGTTATGACAAAAGACTCAAATGGGAACAGGAAAAGAAAAAAACTAAAATAGCATGATTTCTTGTAGGTACCATTTTCCCAGTAACAGTATAGGAGAGAGGATCAGTCAATCCATTTCCCTTTTGGTATGTGAAGAACTTTGGAGCAAAACACAATCTAACCATTCCCACACATTACAAGCCACACACAAAAAAACAACAAACCACAACCTGTTCAATACCCTGCAGTGAACTTAAAACCTTTTCCACAGAAGCCAAGTGCTGTAAAATCATACAATGTTTCACAAGACAATAATGAGAGAGGTTTATAACACCACCAATATTCTAGGTCATTGCAATAACAATGAATCTCTTCAGTGAGGATGCCTATGTTAACGAGTGGGTGCTAACCTACACTAGGAAGAAAGGGGAAAAAAATCATCTGTGCCAATCTAATATACTAAGAAATGTCTTTCTTATCCCACATTTGGCAAGTGCTTTGGCTTTTTACAGACAAGTAAAATATACTACGCAAAGTGTATCATTCTCTCTCTAGTTTGGGCCAATTTTTGATCCTTTGAAGATGGAGAGGGAAAACTCCAGAGACAAATTATACCTCAAGATGTTAAGAAAAAATAAATACGGTTTGGCAGGAGCCTTGAAGCTTGGGATTCATACATTATCAATTTAACACAATAAATAGGATGAACAAGGACTTGAGAATACCAACAAATAAGAGGTCTGTAGATTTTGCAAACTGCTTCACTCAGGCAATTCTCCCCTTGAACTCAGCATGAACAATGTAACTCAGTGTGGTAACCTCAGCTTCAGAAAAAAAGCCTCCAAACAAACAACAAAAAGCTGTTTTTCAGATTGTAGTACAGCAGTACTATTAAATAAATAAACAATTGCATGTACATTTTTGACAGCAAAGAAATTTCTTAACTGTCAAATGCACATTGAATATGGTTTCAGCTGAAGAATAAATAGAATACATAATTCTGAAACCTAAAGTTATACACTTAACTGAAGCGAAAGCAAATTTCTCTCAGTTCTCCCAAAACAGAAACCAAAACAGCATCCATTACCATGTTGCCAGGATGTCAGACATATAAATCTCACTGTTGTCTGCTTTAACATTTTTCAGATATACTTAACTCCAGATACACTTAAAAATGCATAAATATGCTCACCACATCCCACCCCAAATAATGTAGTTAGATCCCAAGAGAAATAGAATGACCACAGCTTGGCTGCCTCTTAGATCAAGGCCCTGAAAGGGTAGGAATTACTAGAGGCCATCCAGAAGCTTTGTCAAAAGTTCCTTAAAACAGGTATGTGTGTATCATAAATAAATGTCAATGAGAGTCCAGACCAGAAAAGAATTTGAGCAGCCCTATGAAGTATCTGGAAAATTCACACTGCACATGGTCAGTGGCAAATCTCCCATTGACTTTAATGAGACCAAGATTTCCTTTCCATTGATGAGTAAGGCACAGGTCACAATTACATACCACAATCTAATTAAGAGAGAACAGAATAACATTTTGAGTAAACCTGCTGTCAATAAGAAAAGAAGTAAAGAATGCTTCTTTTGCTTCCTTGAATGTCAAAGATATCAAGCAAATTCTAGTCCTGAGTAAGTCTCGACAGAATATGCATATGGGGCCTCATAGGCATAATATGCATATGAGGGAGGTTGTACTGGCACCTGCAGCCTCCCTCCACACACCTGGAAAAGACAAGAGGAAACTAATGAGCATGCATTGATACCTTGAATTGATGCATTGATGCATCAAATCAGTCACAGCCATCTTCAAAACAAAGGGCTGGAACTATATAGCACAGTGGATTGCTTTCTGCCCTTTCCCTCATTTGCTACTTCTAGATCAGGGCTGTTTCTGCTCTTGAGAGCACTAGGTTTTCAGGATCATTCTGTTTTCTGAAAGACCAATTAGCACAAACTTTACTACTTGAGCTTTAATTGTTTTCAGAATCCTCACCTGTATCAAATCCTGGATCCTGACTACTCAGCAGAGAGCTTTTATAGTGAGAATAATTTCAAAAGAAGTAGTCTTCAAATCCGAAGTTGATAAAATTGTGATCACTTGGTAGCTTTTCTGCTGCAAGGTAAACCCACAGCCAGGGACTTGCCACCAAGAGTGTCATCTCCTGAATATGCTTCAACTGAGGTGCAGTTAGTTCTTTTGTTGCTAGTGCAACTCCTTGGCATTGCAAAGAGGAGTGTGTCTTCATCAGGATCAGTGGTAACTGGAAAATGGGGGGTAAGGCCCCAGCATGGACTTGGAGTAGAACAAGTAGCAGGCAGCTTTCAGAGTTCAGGAGAAACAAGTTGACATTACTGCCCTTTCTTACTGAAGCCTCCAACACTGAGCTGGATGGCAATTCCTGACTTCCAAATTTTCATTCCTGGATGAATATATTTAAACTGCATGTTTTAGATGCATAGATCAAAGATTCAAATTGTCGGGATGCCTGTCAGGCTAGAAATGGAAGTGTACCCACACCACAGTTTCTCTTTAATCTTTCATTTTAGATTAGTTACTAAGGAAGGTGTAACTCATCTGTGTGACATGTAATTGGTTTCTGCTATTGTGAAGTCACTGCACTGGCAACAAGTGCCCTCATGAGGTTTTTTGTATTATTTTATCTTTCAGAAGTATTTTCTGTACAAAATATCCTTCCTTACAATTTGTAGATCTTTGGAGTACCTAGATATTCATGTCAGATTGTATTGAATATTATTATAACAACAGGATCACTTAAAGGATATACTGTAAATCAAAGCAAAAAAAACCCCAATCTGCTGCTGCCACCACAGCAAGTCCCCAGTAATACAATTTTCCATACACTACTGGTGCATTATAAATCAATGCAGAGGCAGTCTTTTAAAATAAACATACACTACCCCTGATTTCTGGTATCAAGTCACACAATATTTTCAGTTTAACTTGTTGCCTAACTACTAGCACACCTGGGTAATACTGTTCCCAGGCAACTGCATATAAATACAACAAGAATAAAGCAATGGAAATTTCAATGCGGTGTTTTAGTAGAAGCCTTCTGAGAAGGAGAAGGAAACTGGGAATATAAGGTATTCAAACCACAGAACTCAAGGCATTAATACAACTTAATCCTGAAGAGGGTAAATCCTCAGGAAAAGATCAAAGAAAATAAAAACATTTATGAGAACATTACAGATGAAAATAGCTAATAGAGCATGTTTTCATGAAGATATGTAAATATATAGAAGAGAGACCACGTGTCATCTTAGAAACCTAACAAGATTACCAGCATAAACCAGTGTTTACTCAGGAGTGTCTGTAAACTCTTTTCTGTGGGCTTCCA